GTAGGGGAGCAGCCGAAACGGCAGCGATCCGGGGAGAAAAAGGCACGGATCGCCCGTTACCGGGAGGCGCTCGCTCTCCTCCTGCCAGCGGCCTCCCCCTCGGGGCGCCAGGTCCGAGCACCTCGCAGCGCTGCTTCCTTAAGAGAAACCCCGGGTTTCTGCTCTGCCCCGGGACGTGCGGTGGAGCGCTGCTGGGCCCCGGCGGCAACGGGGCGTTTCGGGCGCTGCTCCGTCCCGGCAGGCCCGTGCTGGTTTATGCTGTCTAGAAAAGACGTCCGAGTGTGTCAGTCTCTTTATCACACATGAGCAACTATTTCAGTTCCCAAACCTCTCCTAAGCAGCATAAAAAAGAGAAATCTGTGAGAAGGAGGAAGCCTGTTTAAATTGTGTATTATCTTGGGCGCGTGTAACCACAGGCAGAACGGGGACGGAAAAGATGTTACCGGAGGTTTGCCTGTGTGTGTGGTGGTACCGTGCCCTGCGTCTGTCCAAGGACAGCCCGGCATCTCCCTGCTGTGGGGCTTTGTGAGTGTTTTGAACATCAGGGACTACTGCTTGCCTAATTAAAGTAGATAAGGCGTCTTTTAAAAGGCTGTTGTTTTGATCGGCGGTAGGGTCATTTGAATGAGACAGCTGGAAGCCTGCAGTGGCTGTATTTTTGCCAGCTGAATCCGTACTGCGTGAATTAAGGCTCAGTGACTTTGTCTCTCCGAGCTTCCAGTCTCAGGAAGAAGCTGAAGCCTGGGGTGATCCCGAGACTTAGCAGCCCGTACCCCCGCTCTCCTCACAGGCTGCCCCAGTTCGTTTACCCCTGTGGTGTGTGAAGCCAGATGTCCCCGCCAAGCCGTCCAGGCCACCATGTGTTCCTAGCACTGGTTACGTGAGGCCACATCACCAACCCATGAGAGAGATGGAAGCTGCTGGGCCAGACACCTAACGTAGGGACCCACCCGTGCGGCAAGTAAATGTACCCCTGAGGCCTCCACGAGGGCACGTGGCCCTCCCTGGCTTCTCCCCCGGGGTCCCCCACAGCCAGGGCTCGGGGCCAGCCCCGCAAAGGCGATGGAAGACCCTGAAATGTGGCCGGCAGCGGCGTGCTGTGCGCTGGAGCCTGGGTTTAGCGTGTGCGGATGCGGGTGGCCATGGGTGTGGTAGCCAGCCAGGGGGGTTCAGAGGCACCGAGCACTGCACTGCTCGGCACAGCTGGCCACCAGCCTTCGGCGGCGCTGAGGAAGCTCTCGTGATGAGGCCACTCGTGTCTGCACCCGAGGGTCTGTCTTGGTAAAAGGGTGACTAAAACATCCACCTCTCAGGAGCGCTCTGCACCTCTGTTACTTGAAGTCATTTGAAGCATTTTTATACACAGGTTATACAATGCACATATCTACAGTACGTAACAGCATCTACAACAACTACCAATGTCAATAAAAAGTACCACTGGACTTTAAATTCAGTTATATGAGGCTTAATATAATGGGATTGACAGGAAAAATACTTTCTGAGAATTCCTCGAAGCACGAACGGTCGAAATTAGTATTTTAGAGTCCTTCAGAAGAAGTGTGTCACGGATAGAGTGAGAGTGCGCTTCACTTGTAAGAGAGAAGCAAAAATATACTTTATTGATGTAAAACAGTGAGTTAACCAAGTTCAACGGTAAATGCGGCAGTGGTTTAACAAGGTTCGACGGCAAGGCACACTTGATTACTTACTGCAGAGGGGACAGGGTCAGACAACTGTCAGGGAGCCCCTCCCAGTGAGGGCTGAGGTTCAGAGAGGACCCCCTTGCGTTCTCAACTCCGGAACCCCCAGTCACGACCCCCACTGGTGGTTATGGCCTACGGGGAGGGGGTGGAGAGCACACTGCCATACTCCACTCGGTGACTCCAGTCAGTTCGTCTTCTGTCCTAGTTTTGGCTGGGATAGAGTTAATTTTCTTCCTGGCAGCGGGTATAGTGCTGCGTTTTGGATTTAGGATTAGAATAATGTTGATAAGACGCTGATGGTTTACTTGTTGCTAGGTAGTGCTTACACCAGTCAAGGACTTTTCAGCTTCCCACGCTCTGCCTGGTGCAGAAGAAGCTGGGAGGGGACACAGCCAGGACAGTGACCCAGGCTGGCCACAGGGCTATTCCATACCGTATGGCGTCATGCCCAGTATGGAAACTGGGGGGAGCGATCACTGCTTGGGGACAGACTGGGCATCAGTCAGTGGGTGGTGAGCAATTGCATCGTGCATCACTTGTTTTGAATATTCTTTTGTCATTGTTATTTTTTTTCTTCCTCTGCTGTCCCATTAAACTGTCTTTATCTCAACCCACAGGTTTTACTTTTTTTTTTTCCCCACTGGTGGCAGGGAGGGTGAGCGAGCAGCTGTGCGGTGCTTAGTTGCTGACTGGGGCTAAACCATGACACCTTCACAGAGTGATGGTACAGTCACCTCTTGCCTCTGTGCCATAAGTAACGTATTGATAGTTTGTGCGCTTATAGATCTATGGTAAGTAGACAGTGAAGCACTGCTATATGTTATGCATTAATTTGTATGTTTTGGGTGGTTGAAGTTGGGTTATTTGTTTTATCATGTACCAAACCTTTACATACAATAGAATTATAAGCAATAGACGTATTAAAGTTAGTAAAATCACAACTGGGTGAAGGAATGGTGATTAGAGCTTTGTGTCTGTTGTTTCGAACACATTCTAGCAGTTGACACAGGTCATCGTGCTGTAGTAGTTTCTTCACCAATGTAAGATTCATTCTGATGGGGGCACACAATAAATCTTGACTCAATGTATAAGTAGATTGTAACAATTGATAAGACATAACAGGACCTGAATAACTAATGTCACATCCCACAACTTTAGCAAACTCAAATATTTGATTGCTTGCTTGTATCTACAGTAATGTCACCTAGAAATATAAAATCACACATCCTTTTCCAATTTATACAAGTACAGTTTCAGGGGCTTCATCGGGATGTATTTCAAAATGACAAACATTTTGTTCAGTGTCAAGACAAATGTCTTGGGCTTTGATGGTGTTACTCTCACAAATAAATCCCTGTTGTTCCCGTACAACGCACGCGTTAACGTCAACAGTTTGCCATTTGTTTCCGTTTCGTTGGGCCCGCACTCTGTTTTCTAATGGATAGAGTATAGTTCCATTGTGATTTAATCCCAACGCAACGCTTGGCTATATGCGGTGCGTACCGAAGCATTGCGTATTGTTAAGACAAAAGCTGTGGCCTTATTGTGGATGGGGTCCTAAGTGAAACCGACTAAATACCAGCAGGATTGGAATTTGGTTTCAAATTTGGTTGCATTATCCCAAATTACCTTTCGAATTTCAGCAGGTAAGGTGCTCTCTTCACCTTCTCTTATAATTGCTGCTACCATAGGTTGCATCCACAATTGAGCTTGGATACAACTAAGAGCTAGAGAAACGTTATTTTCAGCTGCACCAAGTGCATCCACAAGCAATTGCTGATCCCTTTCATTAATTCTTTCCCGCTGAGGCAGTATATCAGATAAGAGCCATTGGTTAGTTCCCAGTGCTAACAGAGAAGACCGCGATGGGCGTAAGCAGCATTGTTAGTGTTTGAGGTAGTAACATGAACACAGGATTTCTGTTTGTCATCCTGCGGGGTGCTGTAAGAGAAAATAGACTCGTTTCGGTAGGGAGAGCCCGAACAGGCTAGCCTGTTAAAAAGAAGGAAAAGTCCATCATGCACTAATTCTGTGTTCTGCACCACTGCTATCAGTAGTTTCCCAGACAAGTGGGCCACGAGGTTTAACTGAAGTCATAGGCAAAGGACCGATGGATGGTAAATTGACCATCACAGGCTGTCCTGGCTGTAACATTGTCTGATACTCTCTTTTCCTAGTAAGTGTAGCACTAAACTCTGTATTTACAAAGAATGCTTGGCTTACAGGGCTTCCAGTAGGCCCGTATCAATTATTTAATTGATGGAGTACTTTGGGAAGTCACGCATCCCATTGAGCCCCATGTGGTTTGAAATTCCTTTTCAATAAGCCATTAGCTCTCTCTACCATCCCATTTGATTGAGGTGGGTGTGGAATACTCATTTAATTCCCTCTCCTTTTGCCCAATCTTGCACTTCCTTATGCGAAAAATGTGAGCCATTATCACTTTGGGTATCATCAGGAGTAGGTAGATTTGAGAACCAAAACGATAGCCCTCGCACTGTATTTCGCCCATCGGCTTTCTAACACTTAGTCGCCCTAAACAAGCCAGGGACTACTTCCACTCCTGTGAGGATGTATCGATATTCCGTCAAGGATTTGAATGGTCCGATATAATCAATTAGCCATGTAGACCATAAAGTTTTCCCTTTGTTGATATGCAGAGGTGGTGCTTTAGCAGGATGATCCGCTGGTAATTTCAATCTACACTGGGGACGTTCTGTAAGAATAGTTTCACATGTTTTTCTGTCTGTAGGCCAGCCTTTACTCTGTGCAGCAAAGTGCTTCTTTACCTGTGTGGCCTAGGTTTTGATGTAACCATTCTCCCAATCAATACCATGCTGGATTTAAGGTGATTTTCCTAATTTTAGCTAGCTCATCTACCTTTCGATTCCACTTTGTGGCCGGTTGATTATCCTTAGCATGAGCTTTTACCCATCCCATCTGGAAAGGTGTTTTCCTGGCTGTATCTAGCAATAATTGCCAATCTTTGTTTCTCCAAACTGGGGATCTATTTACTTCCCAATTCAAGGTTTCCCACTGACAGAATCACTGTGTGGCACCAGCCCACACAGCATAAGAGTCTACATATATAATTTTTGCTCCATTTTGTGCTGCCAAAACAACTCCTTTTATTTCTCCTACTTGTGCACTGCCTTCACCTTCCTCTGTTACTTGTTTGCCGGTGATAATATCCGATGCAACGGCCTTATATTGCCATTAACCGTTTACCCTTTTTGCTGAAGCATGCGTAAACCACATGTTTTCTGTTGGTGTACCCTCAGTGAGGGGCGGTGCATCCAGAATGGCGAAGGTTTAAAAGGTTGTTGTAATGCTAAAGGGTCTGTGTTTATGGGCATCTGCAATTTGGAAACCTGAGTGTGTCCTTCAGTTAATTGCGTATTTTCTGCAACTCCTGTTAGGCAAGCATACTATTTTCTGATAGTGGGGTTTTGTGCAATTCCTTCTGGAGGAGGAGTCCCCTTTAGGATTGCTTCGAGTAAATTAAATGCTCCTCTAGTTCGCATAGGTTGTCCCCGATGTATTTTCTCAACTTGTTTAACTGCTTGGACTAAAGATAAAAGTCTCTTTTCCCAGAGTATCGTTGTTCTGTTTCTTTAAATGCAGTAGAGCCAAACAATAAAGGTCTTTTTGGTCCATCGGGGCCAGTTTGGAACAGGTTACGCTAAGTAGCGTGTTGGACGAAACCCCATCTGGCTATAATAGGGTTGCGGGGGTGTACTGGTCCCAGTGACTGATAGCTTTTTAATTCCTCAGTTAAGAGTTTTGCCTGCTTGTTTATGTTCTCATTTCCACTCCCAGGGTTTGCCTTTCCATGAGTATAATGGGCGGGAAATGATAGAAAATCCAGGTACATGCTTCCTCCAGTATCCTAAAGTTCCCATTAATTGTTGTAGCTCCTTCCTTGATTGGCACATTTGCAGCTCTTCGATTTTTCGTAAGCTATCTGGAGCAATCACTGCACTGCCTGCTATCCACCGAGCGCCTAAAAATTTTACTTCTTTACTTGGTCCCTAACGTTTTCCGGGTGGAATCTCAATTTCTGCTTTATTTAGGGCTTGCCATACTGCTGCTGCCGCTTCCCCCACCTTCTCAGGGGAAGTTCCTCCAATCAGAATATCATCTATGTACTGGTACAGTTTCACATCTTGGGAGAGTGAGACCGCCTGTAAAAGTTCAGCAAGTGCGGCATGACCAGTCGTGGGTGAATGTTTACACCCCTGTGGGAGTCTGTTAAAGGTATATTGTATTACCTCCCAAATGACGGCAAACTTCTCTTTACCCTCCTGCTTTAAGGGAACCACAGAGAACGTATCTTTTACACCTAACGCTGCCACCCATGGGTGTGCAGCTGCTTTGCAAAGTAGCTGTTAAGTTTGCAGTGTTCGGCACAGCAGCTGTTAGCTGGGCTCTATCGGCATTCGGGGGGGGGGCCGATAATCGCCTGTTAAATGCCACCTCCCCTCTGGTTTCCGACCTGGCCAAACAAGATGAGTTACACGGGGAGTGGGTTCTGGGGATAATTCATTTCATTTTCTGGAGATGATGTCGTTTCTCCAAATCACCTATGACGTCAGAAATCCCATTTCGTGCCACAGCAGAAACCGGATATTGTGGCACGTTAGTGATTTTTGACACACGCTGCCATTCGGCAGCCGCCAGCTTCTTCCGTTTAGGACGCCGAAACCTAAAATATTTTCATGATAATCTTTAATTGCAAAGCGAGTAGTCGCCATGCGCTTCTCGCCCGGGAGCCATGAATTGGCCTCGCCAGTTCGGCAGCGACACTCGCTCCTCCGTTCACACCGGCACTCTTAACTCTTTGCCGCCTGGATCCCACGCCCAATTTACCAGCATCTTGTGTTAGCACTGAAATTTGTGCTCCCACATCTATTAAAAACTTCACCAATTGTTCCTGAGGACTGACTGCAATTAAAACGTATGGGCCATCATCACTGATAAGCCTCCACTTTCTCGACAGGCAGGCCCCATTGCATTCTGGATACTCCTCCTTTTTTGACTTCATGCCCTGCAATTCCTCTGTACGGGGAGGCAGGGGTTGTCTCCCTTTCTGGGGCCTAGCACAGGAGGAGCTGAAATAGGCTCCTTCTTTTCACCCTTATCTCGTTTCTGGAATGCTTCAATCAGACTCAAGATAACGCCAGCAGGCTGACCTTGAGCTAAGGACTAATGCATTCCTCATGTGCAGCTCTTCAACAGCTTCCCAGTTACGCCAATTGTCACCAGCCTGTTCTTCTGAGAAGCTGGGGCTCAGATTCACTCCATGCCTCCGTAAATAATCAGTGATGCTACCTGCCATCCTGCCGACTACGCCGATTTGTCACCCATAGAGTGAGAGTGCACTTCACTCGTAAGAGAGAAGCAAAAATATATTTTACTGATATAAAACAGTGAGTTAGCAAAGTTCAATGGTAAATACAGCAGTGGTTAAACATGGTTCGATGGCAAGGTACACTTAATTATTTACTGCATAGAGGACAGGGTCAGACAAAATGGTCAGAGAGCCCCTCCCAGTGAGGGCTGAGGTTCAGAGAGGACCCCCTGGCTTTCCAAAATCCTTCCCTTAGAGGAGTCTAGGTGCGGCTGGACCCAAACTTAGTCCTGGATTTGGTCAACAGTTTATGTCTAAAGGATTATACGTGCGCAGTCAATCCTTTATATCACTTAGCTAAAATTACAAAGTTTAGCACACTGTTAGTCACTTACCGAGGATCTGTTGCGGCAAGGAATCCCTCAGCCTCGAGGAGCAGCCTTGAGAGGTGTCCCTGCTCAAGGGGAGATCCCGGTGTGCAGCCCGCTGCTGTGCAGGAGAGCTCAGCGGGCCCCGGGCTGCCCGCTATTCATGCAGTAACATACAGGCATACTTGCATGCCAGCAAGATGCTTGGGTCACTGCTCCAGACAGTCCCTGGTGACTGTTTCCATCCATCCCCCAAAGCCCAGCACAAGCTGGCTGCAGCCATCACGATTCCCACTGGTGGTCCTGGCTTACGCAAGGGGGAGCACACCGCCACACAGGGGTGTTTTATTTGGAATTCCACAGTGGAATAATATTTCTGTCCCTAAAAGTAGTCTTAGCTAGGATAACTGTTGAATTTTGATTTTACTGAAGGCCCTAAGGGAAATTCACTGTCCTGTTTATCAAATTTAATTTATTGTAATGTAAAACACATTTTTTCATGACAGAGAACGCTTCTTTGTCTCTCAGATTTGTCAGGTCTTTAAAAGAATTTTCTGTTCCCACAAACTGTATTTTTAAAAAAGAAGAGAGCTCTTAAAATGGCTTAACTGAAAACTTGTTACTGAATTGCATATTTTTTTTGTCTTCTCACAAAAGCCTACACATCACTTCTTTACATTTGTAGTTCGTATTTTCAGAGCCTCCATCCCAGAGTTTTTTTGGATCACTTCTATGCATCAAAATAAAAGTTGCTGTTGTGTCTCTTACCTATTTTTTCAGTTCCAAGAACACCACATTTACTTTTATGTTCTGGATATTTCTTGTCAATGTCTTAGATAAAATGGTTCTTTTAATTTGTCACTATATAAGTTTTCATGTGAGTCAAATCACCGAACACTTTCTAGTCTTATCTAAAAATAAAAGAGGAGGAAAAAAAACCCCAAAACTAAAAGAGGTGCATGCTAGACAAAAAAATATTCACATTGGAATTCTGCATTCAGGTGCAGGAGGACTGAGTGGCAGCTTCAGTAAATTTTTTTAAGCTGGTCAGAGCATTAGCTCTGCCCTGACCATAGCAAGGTGAGTGGGATTCAGATTTCATATCTGATATAAGAAGTTGCCATAGAGAGAAGCATCTGCAAAAAGGTAAAAGTCAAGGAGATGGTGCAACTCTCGCAGCTCAACCAGCATCTTTTAAATTAGCCAGTAGTTCTGTGCCTAAGGGTAAGCAGTTCAAACCTGACTTTTGAGAACTCATGATGCTTCAGGAGCAGGGCTCCTTCCAAATCAGTGCTCAGCTTTATCTGTAAATTTTCCTGTTAGTTATTTAGAAATGAGATAGGCAATGAAGAGAAGAAAACTGCTTAAAGCTCAAGGATGAAAGGCTAAAAAATGGTTTAATTTGGACCATCAGGCATTTCTGGAGGAGAAAAAAAGAGCACTGGATTATACGTTAAAAATGAAAATGATTACAGTGTAATTTTCATTTAATATAACCTCCTATGTAAAAATGATTAAGAACATATATAAAAGGAGAAAAATTAATTGAAGGGTTATCTGAGGAAGAAAAGCCTACCTTTTCCCTTGATTATTCTTTTCTATTATTCTTCTTCACTCAACTCTCTGGAAAAAGCTATAAATAAACAGAAACCAGCTTTGTAACATTTCAGATCTGAAGGCTCGCTTCAAAAAGCCACTTCTGCTACTGGCTGTACAAATGCAGGGAGCACGGCAGGTGATTTTCTTGCTAGCAGGGCTCATAAAGCTGGGCAGGACCATTTCGTTGCTGATACATGCAGTGAGGGATTGCAGTCGTTTGTGCCAGTGACCGTGGTCTGTTAATATTTTTGGTCAAACTTGATAGAGGGACATTTGTTCTTGGCAAAGTTTTTGAATCTTAAGAAAAATAAAAAACCCCCGTGGTTCCAGTCCACAAAATCCACAGAAAAAAAAAAAAAAAAAAAGGAACAGATCAGTAACTGAAGATGGAAAATATCTTTTGTGATCTTGGTGCTCTTTGAGCGTTCATGAACAGTGACAGTTTCCAAGAGACCGCATTGTGGCTATGTCACTTTGATGACCACATGTCGAATGTGCCAAGAGCTGCATTTTTGTCAAACCACTTACATCTGTACAGCTCCTCGCGGAGCCTAACACGTGCCACTGTGGTGCCAAGAATACAAAATGAACGATCCTGCAGTGCGAGCGTGGGTGTTCAGGTTTAGGTTACAGGAGATTTCCTCGCTGTTGGGCGGAGGTGCCAGCTGCGTCAGCGGTTGGCAGAGCCGTGCCAGCCCGGTCTCTGCCCCTGGGAAGGAAGCGAGCCGCCGTGGGAAATAACCTGCTGCCATCACGTCTCCACAGCCTCATCCAACACGGTCAGGCATACGGCAGGCGTCGGGGGGTTACTGCCGGCTCCGCCTGGGGCAAGGAGAGCAGGATAGTTGGGAGCCAGGCAGGGATTGCCAAGGCGGAAGCGATGCCCGTGTGCTCGGCCTTCGGCTGCCCAAGGCCTCCGGTGGAGCAGGGCCGGGGACTGCCAAGGTGCCGAGCTCCCTCCCGGCAGCGGCCGGCACACGGGGCCTTGGCGCCTGTAACCGGCCTTGCGTGTACCTGAAGGCGCCGACACGAACGGGCGGGGGGTCGGGGACCCAGGCGGCGTCCGGGGGCTCCTGGGAGCCGCCAGCCACCTCAGCCCGCTACGCCGCTACCGCGGCCGAGGGGCTGGCGGGGGCACGGG